TTTTTTTTTTTTTTTTAATTTTAAAAATTCTTAGGATCAAATGAGAATGAAAACATTTGGGACACAATAAAAGCAATGCTCAGAGGAGAATTTATAGCAATAAAAGCACATATCAAACAAGAAGGAAGGGCTAAAATCAATAACTTAACCAGACAACTCAAACAAATAGAAAAGGAGCACCAAAGGAAGACCACAGTTACCAGAAGAAAAGAAATAATAAAGATCAGACCAGAAATAAATGAAATAGAAAACAGAAAAACAATAGAAACAATAAGACTAGAAGTTGGTTTTCTGAGAAAATCAGTAAAATTGACAAACTACTGGCCAAATTGACAAGAAAAGAATGAAAAAATGACAGCAGTAGATAAGACAATATAAGAGATGAAGTTGGTGACATTACAAAAGAACCAAGTGTGATAAAAAGGATCATAACAGAATATTATGAAAAACTGTACAAATCTGCAAACTTACAAGAAATTGACAGATTTCTAGAAACACACTACCTATCTGAACTAATACAAACTGAGGTAGAAAATCTGACCAGCTCCATAATAAAAGAAGAGATTGAAAAGGTGATTAAAACAAAAAACAAAAAACAAAAACCTCCCAAGCACAACAGGAAAAGCCCCAGTCTAGGCAGTTTCACTGAAGAATTCTATCAAATATTCAGAGAAGAGTTGACACCAATTCTACTCAAACTGTTCCAGAACATAGAAAAGAAAGGACTGCTCCCTTACTCATTCTAAGAAGCCAGAATATCCTTCATACCAAAGCCAGGCAAAGACACCACTAAAAAGAAAAATACAGACCAATATCCATCATGAATATAGATGTAAAAATTATCTGCATAATTCTAGCCAACAGAATTCAATGTTGTTGTGTTGTTTTTGTTGTTATGTGCCATTGATTCAGACCCAACTCATAGCGACCCCTCCTTGGGTTTCCAAGGCAGTATCACTATGGAAGTAGATTGCCTTCCACAAGCCTGTGGGTTTAAACCGCCAGCCTTCTGGTTAGCAGTCAAGTGCCTTAGGCACTATGCTACCAGAACCTCTTACAGAATTCAATAGCATATCAAAAAAAATTACACATCATGACCAAGTGGGATTCATACCAGGGATGCAAGGATGATTCAACATTAGAAAACCAATCAAAGTAATTCACCACCTAAATAAAACAAAGGAAAAGAATCATA